CCCCAAAACCCCAAAACCCCAAAACCCCAAAACCCCTGCAGCAACTTATAAAATAGAATAAAGCAATAATGGATTCACAGTAAGTATTTGGCTTTGCTACTACTAATACCCAAATGACACATCATCATGCACCTAAAACTAGGACAAAGCTCTAATGATTATAGTCTAAAACCTTTAAATATAGATTTAGTGAACTATCATCAGTCAATGTGAACTTAGAGCTGGCAGAAACGCAGCTAATATTAGCATTGACAAGGCATGAATCTAGTCATGAAAATGGTAAGCTAAAAGGCCTGATCTGTACAACAAGTTAAGGCAAAGTTTATCAGTGATTAATGCAGAGAAGGATCACGCTTAAGGGATAAAACTTTTGCTAGCTTTACTATACTTCAAACAATTGACGAACGCATGTTATTCTGTGATAGGTGGTTAAGGATTTCTTTCTGGCGTCCTTTAAACCAACACTTCTGATTTTGATATTTAAATTGGTGACCAGTTTTTACAGAATTATTATCGTTTAGATGGAAGTGAAAGTGATAAGGATGAAAGTAGCTCTTTACATCAAGAAGGAAATATTCGGTCTGGATCTCAATACCTTAGTCCCCAGAAGACCTTGAGCATAAGCGCAAAGGAAGATATTTCAGAAATACTTCATAGGTTAGGTAATGTCATTTCAAAGCATGCCTAATATTTCATCTAGATGCAAAACACTTCGATGATAAATCAGTGTTACACTTCATTTTTCTAATTCTAGCAATTGAAAACTCTGTAGAGCTATCAGAACTCGCTAATGAATCTTGAAATAATCTAAAATCGCACAATCATCTTGGAAAGAACATCACTACAGCTAGAAAGTATCTCTTCTCTCACATTGAAATCTCAGACAGAGCTGTAGAATATTGTATGGAAGCTAATAGTCCTGAAGCTATGGCTTATTTGTTAAGAAATTTGGAATTCCTCTCCATAACTCCGACAGTTAGATACACATACGTCAGAAGAATGGCCATAAATTATTCTATAACTAAGGATGTGATTGAGCAGATAGTCCAGAACAAAGTCCATGTCAAAGATCTGTAAGTTTTGGTGAACCCGCCATATTGAAAAATTCAAAATGCTTAAACCCATTTAGCCATATCATGAAGGATGAAGGACTTGATGGCCCATTAGGTGATTATTCTAAAAGTAATTCATTATCTTATAACTCTTAGTTAAATCTGCATCAAGTATTGTCTCTATTCAGCAAAAATCTGAATTACCATTGGAAGCCATTAATGAAGAATCTGATAGTGAGGAGTCAAAAGAAGAGGGAAGATATCCTACCAACTTTCAAAGAGCAACAGAAGAAAGGATGGAGTCTAAAAGCTCGAGAGCTCTGATGATTCTTCAGAGTAAAGACCTTCCTCCTCCTCAAACATCATCTTGTGTGTTCCTTGAGATCGAAGTTATTTTAGAAGTCATCTTTAGATCAGGGCAATTTACTTTTGATGAAGAGTTCGAAATTCTTGCCAACTTCTTTGGTGATTTCAGTCAGCTACAAGCGTCTAATAAAAACATGCTTGTTCGCTTGTTGATTACTTATGAAAAGATTGACCTGATTCATAAAATCTTGGAGATCTTTCAAAGTATGAACATCAAAAGAGCTCAAGACTTTGGATACAAAGGAATTATCTCATTGAGTCTATCAACAATATCGAAAGCATTTGAGAGCCCAGAAACTGTGATAAGAGGCTTTGTACTTGAATTGGTGTTCACAATCATTGATTTTGGAAACATTTTCTTCCTCGAAGACATCGTACGAGGCTTTAGAAGCTTGATTGAAAACAATACCATCCCAATTGTGAACAGAATCGTACTATCCATTGAAAAAAAATACGAAAGTAATGAGCCTATTATTTTTGCAGATTATTACTTCAGCAGTATTCTTACTCTCTGTGAAATTGGAGTTGCTGATATGAAGACTATTCAGGACCTCATGAGTGTGATGAGAAAGCTCCTTAAGCAGGATCCGAAGTTAAATTTCCTCGCTAATTGTTACAATCCAATTAAGATATTTATCGATATAGCCAGGATGCTTAGGAGGATCAATGAAATTTTTCATAATTTTGAGGAAGAAGTCAAGAATCTGACTTCAGAATTTGAGGGAGTTATTATCAAAATAATCAACGAGAGAGAAAGCTCTGATCATCTCAGGAATTGGCTTTATGAGGACTATAACTCATCCTTTAAGATAGTAGACTACATAGCCTACTTTGAGTTCTTGAATATTCTCAACCATCCAAAAATGATTAAGACAGTTGAGCAAATGTGGATGGGCAAGTACGATCTAAACACTTTCTCTCGTGCTGATATAAACTACTTTTTGCCTTTTAGAAACGAAACAGTTTCTCCAAACTATGGCATAACTGGTGAAGAAAGCTTAGCAATCATGAGACCTGGCCACTGGTTCGGGTTTTACAAGTATCCGATATGGAGCATTGGCATTAAAATTAAGCAGCTGTGTGATGAATGGCACCAACAAAAAACAGGCACTGAAAAAGTTCTTCTGAAAGGAGCAAGATGGGGATTCTCCTTCTTTAAGGACTCAATGTACTTTTATTACAATGTGGTATTTTTCATAGATCTGATTCTTGGACTGACTATAGCATTAATCTTCGGTCTGGTAATCTATGAGCAAGCAAATTTGATTAAAACCTTTGGTAAATAAGCCTTAATAACATTCTAGAAAACCAAATTGAAAGCCAGACTGATCCATTGTCAATAGAGGAAGGGTATGCCACTCTCGAAGGCGAAGGCCAAAGATGGAGAGATTACTATATTATATTCATCTTATTCTCTGCAGTTTTTAACGTGAACTTTGTACAAGATATCTTGATTTATATATCATTCTTCATAAGAAAGATAGACAGAAAGAATCTGAGCACTGTGTTTAAATGGATCACTGTAGCAGACACAACTTGAATCATCTTTTCTTATATACTTTACATAGAGTTTTCTAGAGTTTATAGCAAAGATCGAGATGAGTACAGAGTGGAAGAGCGAAATTACAGAATGATGATTGACTCAAAAGATGGAAATTTTGATCCATTTTCACTTATGATTGGCATTGTTTGTTGTATCAGTATCCGCATTCTGCTAAACCTTGTTTACAATACTCTGTTTGGATCATTTGTTCAAATAGTTATCCAGATGGCTCAAGACTCATTCATCTTTCTATGTATTTACACCATTGTGATCATAGTATTTTCTCTGATTGGTTCTGCTTTATTCTATGACCTGAAAGAGTTCAAGAACTTTATTGAAGCATTTATTCATCTTTACGAGTCAGCTTTGGGGGCATTTGACTATGATATCTTTGAAAATGCAGGAGAGACAAATCCATTCATTGGTAAATTATTCATGGGCCTTTATTTACTGATTTCAGCAATTCTGCTGCTTAACTTCTTGATTGCTATTATGGCAGACACTTATGCAGCATTCAAGAATTACAGTCTTGGTATGAAGATGGCTCAGGTTATTAAGATTAGGCCAATTTATGATGATCATCCACAATTCTCTTGTCTTGTAAAGAGTCTTCCTATTCTGAACTTCATCGTTCTTATCATGCTTCCGTTCATTATTATATGAAGATCAACAACTCTTAACAATGTGATTCTCAGAATAGAGTTTCTAGCATTCCAATTCTTCATGAAATCACTATGACTACTGATAGGTTTCATGCTTCTTCCTATTTTAGGTGTCTATCTCCTGGTCGAAAAGTTAAGAAGTATATGATTCTCTAAGAGAAGAAAAGTATGATTCATTTGGGCGGTTATTGACTTTATAATCTTAGTCCCTCTCAACCTGTTCAATGCCGCTTATATCTTGCTTTATTGGTTAATTGTGTCTACTCTTCATGAGAACTTGAGTAAGAACATTCTGAAAGTAACTGAAATATTCCAAGAAGACTTTATTAATATCAATAAAATATGAGATAAGTCATACGGAGATGAGAATGATGATGATGATCACAATAATGATCTCTATTTATTCAAAAAGTCATTAGGAACCGAACTTAAGATCGAGTATAATCCTTCTAACATGATGCTTGCTGAAACTACTGTCTCTATCTTAGTTGCTGTGCTTAAGGAGTCTGAGGACGATGCGAGAAATCTGGGAAAGAATTACATCCCCACTGCGTATATCATCAAAAATTTGAGGAAATATATGTTCGTTGACACAATTTTGTCCACTCTTATTTATCAAATTGATGCCAAAAGAAATGAGCTGGCTAATTGTAAAGAACTTGAAGACCTAGTAGATCTCCTTGTTGACAGATCTATTGGAGGAATCTACAAGAAAGGTGTTGCTGATGAATACCCAGATTACATAGAGGAAGATGGTGATAATCTGATCCTTAAAACTTCCCTAATTCTTAGCCATGGGCAAAGAAAAGAGTTTTGGAAGGAAAGGATATTCAAATTTTTCACTTACAGCAATAAACAATGGCTTCTTGATCAATTTAAATATTGTAAACTCTTTCTTGAGGCGAATTCGTATTCTGAGAAGCCAGGAAATATTCCAAAAAGCCTCATGAAGTTAGGGCCATATATCTTCCAAGTCATTAGTAGAGCCAAAAAGACAAGGACCATGTTTTTGGCTGGAGATAGATGGAATGAAGCTCCCAATGCACAGTTAGATTCTAACAAAACTGGCAAAACCACTGTTTCACTTCTGAACATTCCAGCCCTTTTAAATGGCATTGTAAATTTTGAAAAATTCTGTCGCTCTATCTGCCTATTCAAGACTAAGAATGGAAAAATTGAAATTGATCTTGAAAGTCAGATATATAGAGATCTTGCTTTGAAAAACCAGCAAGTGTTCAAGCAGTTCATTAGCTCCAACTTCAGTACTAATTATGCAGCAGTAATGACAGAGTAAGCCCAAGGCAGTTTCCATGATTTTATATCCTAAAAATCAAAAGGGTTTATCCAACTAAGTTTTCTATGTTGAGCATATACTTTATTTTCTGTGTGAAACCTATAATAATGAGGGTTCAAGAGCATTTATGTTCATTTTTATCATAGCTATGTTTCATACACTAGATAATGATAGCTAGGTGTTACCTCTAGGCATTCTTGAGTGCCTTCTTAAGAGAACACTTTGGATGTTTGATGACCTTTATTTTGGGCGTGAGTATTGATAGAGGATTTAAGTCATTAGGCCTGATAATTATGATAGAGCCTATACTTATGTTACAGAAATACTTAATAAATCAGGCTGCTTCTTTAGCTTTTGCTTTCTTATTCACTGCTTTATTAATTTTCTATACATTCAATTAAACACCAACTTTTTAGCTTATATACAAAAACGATCTCCGATGAAGAAATTTCATAGAAATATACCTCCAATTACCTCTTAAATCCTGACTGGAATTTCTATTTTCTTTCAGATCTGAGTTATTTTGATTTCTGAAAGACTCAAAAAGCTGGGCCTTAAGCTTGTACATCTACAATTTCCCAACACCTTATTTATTTTTTACATCCTCCCCCTCCTAAGGGAGCTCTAAAACTTCTGTTTTTCATCTGCACCTCATTTTCATACTTTACATGGAAAAGTGCAATTATTTATTTTCAATTGGATATGGCTGGTAAGGGGTTTTGGGGTTTTGGGGTTTTGGGG